GAGCGAGGGTCCATCCCTCCTCCCAACCCACAGCAGCGTGACTCACCCACAGGGAATGAGGGAGGCTCAAATACCCCCAGGCAGCTTCTAATGAAACATTAATAAGGCACCGGGTGTACAATAATAACAGAGGTGGGCAGCTTGTTCGATAAATCATGGTCTTTCGAAGTCTGATCTTTCAGAAACCCCCCCAAACAGGTCCCCAGTGGGGAAGTGCAGGATAATGCCCAGCCCCTTCCAGCTGAGCTCACTGCTCACCCAGTCACTGCAGACCCTTCAGTGGCATTCCCACTCTGTAATTTTCCTGCTGCTGCCCCCACAGCCTGAGATCCAGACAGTGAGGAGGTGCTGGACCCCACCACCCCTGTGCCTTTCATGCTCTGCCATTCTCTCCCGTGGCTTTTACCAATGACACACTCACAGCTTAGCAACATCCAGGAAAGAAGAAAAATCCCTTGGTACTACTGGGGACACGGTGTCAGAGGGAGGATCCCCCTGTGGGTGCTCTGTGCTTTCTCACCCCCTGCTCCTGCTCACTGTCCCCAGCCCAGGCAGCTGCTCCTGTGCTGGGTGCAATGGTGGAGCACGCTGTGGAATCAGAGAATCCCACAAAAATGGAATATCCTGAGCTGGAAAAGACCCACAAGGAGTCCAGCTCGCGTCCCTGCACAGACCCCCCAACAATCCCACCCTGGCATCCCTGGCAGCGCTGTCCAAAGGCTCCTGGAGCTCTGGCAGCCTCAGGGCCGTGCCCATTCCCTGGGCAGCCTGGGCAGTGCCAGCAGCTCTGGGGATGAACCTGTCCCTAGTGTTAATGTCCTCCACATCACTCCTGCTGCAGGCCCCATCTCCTGCATCCTGCAGGACTCCCTGGGCAGCCTCGGGGCCGGGCAGGACGGGCCCTGACCAGCCTGGGATGGCCCCACAGCAGCAGCTCTGCAGCACCCCAGCACCCACAGACACCCCTCAGGCTGTGCCCTCTCCATGACCAGGCTGCCCTTTGACAAAGCCAAGGCAGCCCTGGCTCCAGAGCCTGCCAACGACATGGTGTGGGATCAAGTGACAGGAGCAGTGTCCAGCAGGGACAGCCTCTGTCCAGCCCTGGAGTGGCTCCAGAAAACCCTCAGCCTCAGGTGAGATCAAGGACAAGAAAGGAAAAATCAAGGGCAAAAAATATGTGTGGCAGCTAAATACCAAGGGATTAAGTTTCCAGCCTTTCTTTAGGGGGAAAAATCCAACATTTATAAAGCTGGAAAAAAAGAAAATGGATCAAGCCAGTGTTGATGTCAAAGAGGGATTCAGTTGAGAATAGACTTGAAGGGAATTTTATTTATGGTGCAGCTACTGGGTGGGCATCTGTGACCTTTAGAAAATGGATTAAAGCCTTTCTATACCCGGCTCCAGGCTGTGTGAATTATTAAAGCAACAAAATCATGAAGCTGAAGTACTCATACAAAGAAACCCAGACACAGCCAGCCCTCACTGGGAGGGTCAGGGGAGCTGGGCACAGGGACCAGGGCCCCAGCTCCTCTGGAGCAAATGAAAGCCAGGCCCCCACAGGCTCCCACCCCAGCATACTGGTTCCTTCTGGAAGATTCCATTTCCTGCTGCTGCCCATTCCAGCCCCAGCCCTGGTTTAATCCCCTATTTCCAACGGCACACAAAGGCACAAATCCACGCTGAAAAACTTCAGACGCGTTGTTATTTCTTCTCAGCAGTGAAGTGTAAATAATGAATTCCCACAGCCCCATCCAGCTCCTCATCCCTTGGAAAAGGCAGCTGGGGCTGCAGAGCCACGGGGGACGCCAGGTGGGAGAGGAGGTCAGGAGCAAACAGCCCCAGCTGCCTCACGGGGACTGCAGCCACAAGAGCCCAACTAAACCAGGCAGAGCCCCCGGTCCTGCAATGCCACCCCTGCCCTGGGACAGCTGGTCCCATGCTGGCTCTCGAGAAGCACAACGAACCTCAGAGCATACTTCCCATGAAAACAGCGCCACAAACTGCACCCCATTCCAGAAACCCCCTCCTGGCTGCTGCTCCTCGGGAAATGGCATCAGAGCAGCCAAAACCTGGGCAACTGCTGCTGCTGCTGCTTGGAAAGGAGCCTGTGCTGCAGGAGGAACACTGTGCTGATATTAAATCACTGAAAATCAAATAATATCACCTCTACTATGTGTGGAAAATATTCCACACTTGCTAATTGGCGTAAACATGGAATTGAACCTGACCTTCATTTGATTAACTGTATCTTAAAACTGATTAAACCCATCTCTAGGAAACAGAAATTGGCCATTTATTGCAGATATGCCATAACCACAGCTCTGGGGCTCTCAGGCTCTTCAAAAGGGATTTCTGAGCTCCTTTTCCCTTCCTTTCCTCCAGTTCCCACACCGAGGATGTCACCATCTGTCCTGAGAGGTGCACAAAGTGACCATGGAAGGAAATGCTGTGCCCCAGGCCAGCCCAGGCACTGGCCCCGGGTCCTGTCACCATGGGATCACACAGTGCCACAGCTGCCACAGGTCACCCACACACTCAAACAGAGCACAGGGTCTGCTTGCACACTGGCTCCTAAATATCTTCCTGAACGTGGCCAGAGAGCGGTTTAATCAAGCAAACCAAGTCACGCCTAAACTTTTAGTAACATTTGCCAGGTAGGTAGTTTTATGTTTTCTGCGATTAAATGTGAGTTGTAAATGACTTGGTAAACGCAAATGCTTTTCTCAGTGTCAGAGGAAATTCAGCATATTGACAAAGTCATCCAGAAAGATGACAGATGAATCATGTCAGCATTTTGAAAGTGTGTGTACAGTTCTGCTGCCTGATAGACTGCTCTGTGCTAGACTTAACCTCCCTGCACCACAAAGCACAGAGCGAGCAGCTGCAGGGAGAGCCACAGGGAGCAGCTCTCTGCAGAGCCAAGGCACTCCTGTCCTGGGACAAGAACTGGTTTTTCTCTGTTTTATGTTCTGAGCAGAATTAAATTTTCCAGGTGCTGCTCCTTAACAGAAGAAAACCTCCTTGTCTGGAAAGTTTATATGTGAAGTATGAATCTTCTCCTATCGGCTCGAAACAAGCTGCTCTTTTTCACTGAGGTTTGGAGTTAGTGTTTGGTCTTTGATTGCGAGCTGAAGACACAAGACCTTGAGTGTTCCTGCTCTCACCAGGAGTGTCTGGGGAGACTTTCTTCTGCTGTTTGCCTTATCCTCACAGCACAAGGGCTGAGCTGGTATTTAATCATTCACCATCATTCAACAGAAGCCCAGCAATGTGACAGAGCTCTGCAGCACGCTTTCCCCTCTCCTTGCTCAAGGGATGTGGCTGCAAAGAGGGGTGAGTGTTTCAAACCACCCCCTCAAACCGTCACAGTGACTTGCACACGGCTGGCAATCCATTTCCATTACCCCAGAAGTCCCAGGCAGACTCTCATGGAAGCCCAGCAGGAATTCACGTGGGTGGGCTGTGCCGAGCAGGGTAATGGATCTGCTGGTGTTCATCAGGGAGCTGAGGCTGTATGGGAACATCTTCTCTAGAACAAGCACTGATGGCAGCACTGGGACCGAGTGTCCCCTGTCCTGCCTCTCAGAACAGCAGCACCTCCCCATACAGAGCACAGCTGGGTTTGTGCTGCCACTGTTACACAGCACCAAAACTGCTTAATACACATAAAGTATTCAAAAAGAGATTTTGGTGATTGGTAAATATTTGGGTTCTTCTGACCAAACAGGTCTCAAATCTCCTGGGAAAGTTCTGCTTTTGCAAAGTTTCCATCTTCCAGCCATCCAATCATCCAAGTATCCAAGGTCAGGCTGCTCCCCAGGCCATGGCCCATGGAACAAGACCTTGTCAGGCTGTACCACAGAGGGAGAAGGCAAAGGACAGTGTGGGTCATCTCCAGAGCCAGATCTGCATGTTCTCACCATCGTGGCATCAGATTTTGATCAAAGTGTGATGGGAGAAACCAGCCAAGATGACCTGACCAGAGGGAAACACGAGCAGGTGCAGCTTGCCCCACCACTCAGCTGTCCTGTTAATGTCCCAGGGCATGGGGGACACCCGTGCCACCCACCGAGCCGGGCTGGGCCCTTCCACAGCTCTGACACTGCACATTTCACACTACTTCATGGCCATGTCTGCCCCAAAGTCCCAGTGCTGGCACACAGCCCCACCCACACACGAGTCACAGGGCAGGTGACACACCTGAGCCAGCAGAGTTGGGTCAGCGCTGGCACCGCCGCTCCCGGCTCGCACCCACCACACACAGGCGGGTGAGGCTGCACAGGGGGCACCCGTGCTGCTGGCTGGCAGCAGAGCACAGGGACAGGAGCACTGCAGAGCTCCCAGCGCAGCCCTGCGCTCGTGTGACGTGCCACGGGCACCGCGCTGGCACTGCCAGGCAGGGGCAAACGCCAGAGCCCCCTGCACAGGGACAGAGGGCCAGCCAGAGGAACGGGGAATGGAAAGGACTGACACTGGGAAACCAACAGTACCGACTCCAGAGATACACAGCTTTTTGATCATCACCTCCCACATCCTCCCACATGCTTGGCAAGAAAAGCCAGTTAAAAATAAACAACAAAACCTCTTCAGCATAACTGATTTCTGATTGGGAAAACAGCCCAGAACTTCACAGAACCCTCCTGACCCGTGTGCCAGCTCGGTCAAGCATCAAGGACAACTTCCAGCACCTTCCTGCCTCGCTGCCCCGCCACAACCCAGACATCCCCACAGGAAACTGAAAACATACAGAATGCTTGCTGAAAAATGGTCACAATTGTGCTGGTAACTTACATCACATCTGTTGCACCAAGGTGCCAAGAATTACAGCAAAGCCAAATGGCAACAAGGTATTTTCCTGAACATTTTTCCTGTGTTGACTGAGCAGCCATCATAAAAAATACAAAAATAGCCAATTTCGGCCCCATTACTGTTCCAATAAATCACAAGTACATAAAAGCAGACACCTGGTGAACCATGCAAGACTGAGAGCTCCAGCCTACCTTGCCAAAGCTTCCCTTCCCAATGGCCCGGAGAATCTGGAAGTGGTCAAAGTTCACTACAAGGTAAAGAAAAAAGAATTTACATTTGTAAATGCTTTACTACAAATAAGCTTGCATCCTAAAGAAGGCAGGGAGACAACTACAGAGCGTTGGCCAAGCTTTTATTAAAAGTTTTCCTCTGGGGAAGCTGTGGGACAGCAGCTGCTTTCCTTTCAAGTCTCTCCACGAGCTGGCAGAGGGTTGCATGAGGTTACTAAATGAGTGGTTTAGCACAAAGTAAAATACAGCTTTAACCTGTGTGGATCTGGGGGAGCTTCACAGAGCTCAGGGGCAAACTGAGAGTGTGGCTGAGTAGCGAGCGTGGTGAGACCCTGCCACACGTTGTGCCCTGCCCACTGCCCACTGCCCTCGCCCCACAAACACTGCCCCAGCCCCACAAACACTGCCTCACAAACCCTGCCCCACTGCCCATTGCCCCACAAACACTGCCCCAGCCCCACAAACACTGCCTCACAAACCCTGCCCCACTGCCCATTGCCCCACAAACACTGCCCCAGCCCCACAAACACTGCCCACTGCCCCACAGATGCTGCCCATTGCCCCACAAACACTGCCCACTGCCCACTGCCCCAGCCCCACAAACACTGCCCCAGCCCCACAAACCCTGCCCCACTGCCCATTGCCCCACAAACACTGCCCCAGCCCCACAAACACTGCCCACTGCCCCACAGATGCTGCCCATTGCCCCACAAACACTGCCCACTGCCCTCGCCCCACTGCCCACTGCCCCAGCCCCACAAACACTGCCCCACTGCCCATTGCCCCACAAACACTGCCCCAGCCCCACAAACACTGCCCACTGCCCCACAGATGCTGCCCATTGCCCCGCAAACACTGCCCACTGCCCACTGCCCCAGCCCCACAAACACTGCCCCACTGACCATTGCCCCACAAACACTGCCCCAGCCCCACAAACACTGCCCACTGCCCCACAGATGCTGCCCATTGCCCCACAAACACTGCCCACTGCCCTCGCCCCACTGCCCACTGCCCCAGCCCCACAAACACTGCCCCACTGCCCATTGCCCCACAAACACTGCCCCAGCCCCACAAACACTGCCTCACAAACCCTGCCCCACTGCCCCAGCCCCACAAACACTGCCCACTGCCCATTGCCCCACAAACACTGCCCCAGCCCCACAAACACTGCCTCACAAACCCTGCCCCACTGCCCATTGCCCCACAAACACTGCCCCAGCCCCACAAACACTGCCTCACAAACCCTGCCCCACTGCCCATTGCCCCACAAACACTGCCCCAGCCCCACAAACACTGCCCACTGCCCCACAGATGCTGCCCATTGCCCCACAAACACTGCCCACTTCCCACTGCCCCAGCCCCACAAACACTGCCTCACAAACCCTGCCCCACTGCCCCAGCCCCACAAACACTGCCCCAGCCCCACAAACACTGCCGTGCCCCCTGTGCTCAGCCAGCACTGGCTGTGCTGCAGTTGCTGCTGCCAAAGGGCAGCATTAGAGGACAGGGACAGCCCTCCTCTCCCTTCACGTGCAGACCCATCTGGAAGACATCCATGGCTTTTTCCAGAGCCAGCATGAGGAGCAATGACAAGAGATGATCGTGCAGCTGTAACACTCAGCCACTGACTCCATCAGCTGCTGCTGCAAACAAAATTATTTTTATACCAAAGCACTGCTGTGATTTAATTTAATATCAGTGTTAAATAAAGAAGACAAGGTGAGGAGGAGCTTGCTGATGGCCTGAGCCCACCTGCTCAGATACAGCTGTCAGCCCTTGCCAGCTGTACCATGAGACCCTCCCCGTGCAGGGGACCCTCAGCACTCCTTGCCACATGTCTGGATGAAAAGAAATGCTTGGCATGGGCTTGGGGTTTGCAGCATGAGATGGTCAACAATGAGCACTGAGCCTGTTGGCTGGCCACAGAGACCAAAATCACTCAGGAGGAGTGGGAACAAAGAATTCACTATAAATATTACGAGTCCCACTCCCAGATCTTAAATAAATGCACATCTGTCATCTCTGAGGATGAATCAAGAGCCCACGCATGCTCATGGAGTTCCTATTACCCTTTTGTGCTAGGCTTATATCCAAAATATTGTTATTGTCACTTTTGTGGGACGTTTTCTGCAGGAGAGCTCAGAAAACTTTGCCAAATGAAACTGAGAACAGAATCTGGGCCAGCTCGTACTCCGTGTGTCCCTGCACTCCCAGTTCCCTCCCTCGGGATGCTGAAGGGCAGAAGCACCACCACTGCTCCGTGTTTAGCTGGTTTAGTTGGTTTAGCTGACCGTGTGGTTATCAGCCAAAGGCTGCACTCCTTGATCTTGGATCAGGATCTTATTCCACCCTCAATGACTCTGTGATCTGCTCGAGATCTCTCCAGAGACCCCACAACAGAGCCCATGGGGACACCAGTGTCCCCACATCCTTCTGCCAGCCTCCCACGTCTCCAGGGGAAGGGCTCAGCTCCTCATCACCTCCCTCCTCTGTGGGCCTTTTGTTTCAGCAGTGATTTTATTGAGGATTTTCCTCCCTCTCCTACTAGAGGGGATGCAGTGAGCAATGCAAAACTGCAGCTTCAGCTTCACAAGTATTCTGTCTGAAATGTTCTGGCCGAAGCATTTGGAGCAATAGATCAAGTGTTTTCCACCTGCAACCAAGTCCGCTGGCTGACCTCCTGTCACCAAAAGGATGCCCAGCCACAGGGAGCCCCTTGGAAGGGGGGCTTTTCTTGACAATTAAACCACATGCAAGTGCTCAGGATCTGCCATCACTCCAGGAGGAGAGCTTTCGGTAATTCTTTGTTATAAGGTTTGGAATATTGTGTAAAAAGGCATTGCCTCTGAGAAAACAAACCCCGAAGTGTCATTTCCATGTATCCATGACTACAACTGATCTGGGAAGCCTGCTCGAGTCAGCAGGCAGGAAACAAACCTAGAAATGAATATTCACCAGGCCCTTGAACCTATCAGAAGAGATGTCACTTTCAATAAATTAATACAGAGTTCTGCTGATGGGAAGTTGGGATGATGCACTGCCTGGTTTCCCAGTTCCAGTATTTTCTGCAGCATTCAGGAGGCAATCTGATAATTCTGTGTAGGTAAACAATTCTATGATTACACGATCCCAATAAAGCAAAAGCAATCTCAGCATGTGAAGAAGAAAATCATAGTAGCAGTGTGCTGCTTTCTGTGCACAGCACAGCGGATTACTAAGAATGCTAACTTATCACTACGGAATACGTGATTATCCCCAAAATAGAAATGTGAACCTGCCTGGAACAAGTGCGTGTGCTCCAGAGGCTCTGCTCCCGGGGCTGACAGGGGAAAGCTGTCATTCACCCACAGCCAGCAGGGCCCTGCCACGAGCCCGAGTCACAGACACAGCGGGGCTCGGGAGGCAGGAGCAGGAGGGCACAGCTGCTGCTCTGCCAGGCCCTGCTCGCCCTGCTCTGCCTCTGCACAGCTCCAGCCCCAGGCTGGAGGGGCAGAAACGGCCCTGCCTTCAGGAGGGGCCAGAGTCCCTCACAGGGCCCTGCAAACCTGGGCCTTCAGAACCATTTCTGTACAGAGGCTGCTCAAGCTGGGAACAGGCCTCCTGCAGCCACGTCACGATCCAAGCCCCTCAGGGCTCAGGAGGCACTTGCACAATGCCCTTAATGACATGCTTCAGCTTTGGGCACTCCTGAAGCACCAAACCCAGGGACTAGATCAGGCTAGGTGAGTGGGACTAGTAGGTGCCTTACAGCTGAAAATATTCTGTTCTTCTGTTCCACCCCATTCCATCCCATCCCATCCCATCCCACCCCATCCCATCCCATCCCATCCCATCCCATCCCATCTCATCCCATCCCATCCCACCCCACCCCACCTGCAATGTGCACACGGGAGGAGCTGACTTGCCCCCCAGAGCCAGCCCATGGCCTCTGCAGTGTGCAGTGCCCCAGGGTGCTCCCTCAGCTCCTCACAGGAACAGGACACTCACTGCTCCAGCAGCTCCTCATCTCCGTGGCACCTCGGCAGGGAGGGGAACCACAGGACAGGAGACGCTGGCATTTGCCATGTGCCGCTTCCCGGCTCTCCCTGGCACCAGTGACAAACCATGAATCACAAATAAAATAAATACCATAGCCTGGCCTTACTGTGGCTCTGTTCTCCAGTTCCAGGAATGCGTGACGAGCGGGACGGCAGGGATGGATGGCAGGGGTGGATGGCAGGGATGGATGGCAGGGGTGGCAGGGATGGATGGCAGGGATGGAAGGCAGGGAAGGATGGCAGGGAAGGATGGCAGGGATGGAAGGCAGGGATGGATGGCAGGGGTGGATGGCAGGGGTGGATGGCAGGGGTGGCAGAGGTGGATGGCAGGGATGGATGGCAGGGATGGATGGCAGGGGTGGAAGGCAGGGATGGATGGCAGGGAAGGATGGCAGGGATGGAAGGCAGGGATGGATGGCAGGGGTGGATGGCAGGGGTGGAAGGCAGGGATGGATGGCAGGGATGGATGGCAGGGGTGGATGGCAGGGGTGGCAGGGGTGGATGGCATGGGTTGAATGGCAGGGGTGGATGGCAGGGGTGGATGGCAGGGGTGGCAGGGGTGGATGGCATGGGTTGAATGGCAGGGGTGGATGGCAGGGATGGATGGCAGGGGTGGCAGGGGTGGATGGCATGGGTTGAATGGCAGGGGTGGATGGCAGGGATGGATGGCAGGGCTCCACGTGCCCATAGGACCTCCCCAAACCTCACGCAGCCCAGCCCTGCCCACTGCACAAGAGAGTGCCAGGTGCTGCTCTGACATCCCTGTAATTAAGATCTCATTGTAATCACAAGATGTACTGTGGGATAAAGCCGGCTGGATACACAGCTTCCACTTGCCAGTGAAACAGAGAATGAGGAGTACATTTCCCCATTTCCCTGCAAAAATTCATTGCACAGAAGGAGGAGGGATGCAAAAAAAAAAAAAAAAAGGGCTTTTCACTATTTTAAAATTATTAATGTTTTCATTACTATTTGCTATT